TTTTGAGGTTAGAAATGTTTTTATTTATTTATTTAAACATAGAGGTAGAGATAGGACAAATCCCATTAGGAACTACCTCACAACTACATATGTAAGCAACAATAGACAGACCACTACAAATTGCAGTAACCGTTGATCAACCTAAACATGAAGTGAACCTCACTACAACATCTACATTGTTGAAGTGTAAGCATATGATAGATTTGGCAGACAGATAAATAATCTGTATAAGGATGACAGAATCGAAAGGAAAAGTGTTTCAGAAACATAAAATATTTACAAAGGCATTATTTAGGGCCTATATTACGTTTGACAGATAACTTAAAGTGACAGCAACCACTTCACGTTACGATAAATACAGAAATCTGTAATTTAATTCTTTATTTAAAATTTTAACTTTTTGTTAATTCATTTAGGTTTAATTAAAATTAATTCAGTTTTGTTATGATAACTTAATTTTGTAAGGATTAATTAGAAAACTAATTTGTAAGTTTTTTTTTTTATATTTAGATGTAGATGTCAGATGAAAACATAACCTCTAAAAAATGAGTTGCTAAAATAACTATTAGGAGGGCGAGAAATGTAACGAAATACTTTATTCTTTGATAATTAAGGAGTATTTAGGAGATGAAAAATGTGATTTAAACTTTATTTGGGTAAGTACTTAACTCAAATAATTAATTAATTAATGCTATAATTGACTTAAAAATTTTTTGAGGTTAGAAATGTTTTTATTTATTTATTTAAACATAGAGGTAGAGATAGGACAAATCCCATTAGGAACTACCTCACAACTACATATGTAATTTAACAATAGAAAGACCACTACAAGTTGCAGTAACTATTGATCAACCTGAACAGGAAGTGAACAGAATCGATAGGAAAGGTGTTTTAGAAACCTCACCTGAACTCTCTCTATTTTATTAACATAAACATTATAGTGAAGATCCCAAACAGTGTTTCTGAAACAAAATATTGTTTACAAAGGCATTATTTAGGGCCTATATTTCATTTGACAGATAACTTAAAGTGACAGCAACCACTTCACGTTATGATAATTACAGAAATCTGTAATTTAAACATGTTTTATAGGCAATGTGTTTAGTAAAAGATTCAAACGAACGCATTACAAATCCCAGCATCCTATTAGCTCATAAATAATCTTAAAAGAGAAGATTATCAGTAAATTCTACTGCATCTTAAAAACGCTTGACAAATACAAAAGGAATAGAACTGAAACATGCATTAGAGGCCCTAAATTGTGAGGTGCTCTCCAACTAAGACATTGACAAAGGCATACAAAACTCTGCCTAGACCTCAATACCTATTTTAACACCAAAACCTAAATCTAACATATCCTAAATT